CTGCTTTTTGGTGTTTTGCATGCTACCGTCCTCGAGCAAGGCTTCCGACAGTAATGAAGAAGCAGTCCATATTGCACGTACCAGAGACTAAATCCAATCCCCTTTGCGTCCTAGATGCAGCCGATGTAGGCCATCCACATACTGACAGAGAGAACGATCCACTCGGCCAGGCAAGACACACCAACTGGCATCAAGCTCCTCAGACTCCAGTCCCCACGCAGCCTCTCGATGTCGCCATACAGCCACGGCAGGCTGGAATGCCCAAGTCCATGCTGCCACCATGAACGGGTCGCCCATGAGGCCACCAACTTGTGGCCTGAGACGAAGATCAGTGCCACTGCTGGGAACAGAAATGTACGATTGCTCCACCCTTTGCCTAGCCACCCTTCGAACCGATCCATCATACAGAATATCAGGTGCCTCCACATATCGAGTCTGGTGAACACTACCAACGGCATTCGTCACATCGAAGAGCTGCTTGCCTAGACTCCTCCCATTTTCCCGCGCTCGCCAAGCAACAACATTGCTATTCAGAAGAGGCGTCTCCTTGCAACGCCCCTTCTGGTATCCATGCACCGAGGGTTTCATACGAATGCGTTTCATCTGCGAAGCAAGCCAGGACTTACCAATCTGCGGTAAAAGATGAATCCAGCGCTTGCATTTCGGTCCTTCATCACAGGTCTTCGGCAGTCCTGTTGTACGGCTACAATTCCAGTATCTAGGGCAATGTCCAGCTGTACGAGAGCGTAGACAGCCGGGAACGACAGCACGCGTGAAGAACAAGATGGGCCGTCCCACCTCCTCAGCTCCAAGCCCTCCTCGTTGCTGCCCAGGTCGTGCTCCTGCTCCAGGGTTGAGCGCCATGTCCCAGAGCTCGCCAGGCGCCGACCAGGGTGGCCCCGCCTTCCGCTTTGCCGTCTGTCTCAAAGCACGGCTGAGCCTCCTCACGTCCTCCGTCGCGTCCTCGTGCATGCTCATGTCCAGCAGCGGTCCCTCCACCTCAGGTGCGGCGGGCCTTGCAAGCAGCCCGTGCGCCCGCATGCCGCCGTCACTGCCTTCCGCCCCCCAGAAGTCCATCTGCTCGTTGCCAGTGGGCATCTCCGTCCGTAGCGTAAGGTGATGCCTATGCTTTGGCCCCTCCCTACATCCAGCGGCCAGTCGCGCATATCTAGCCACTCCGTACATGTCTCGTATCCTCCATGCCTCCTGCATCTTCTCCGTGAAAGCCGCCCTCTTCGCCTCGAAATCCTCATTGCCCGTCTTCCTGCGCATCCTCGTGAGATCCTTGATCTTGGCCGATCGGGCGGCCTCCAAATCATCATCGTCAGCCGCTCCTCCAAACCGCTGTCGAACCTCTCGCCTCTTCCGAAGCAGTCGACTGCGCTCATGCTCCCGCTCTCCCCTTTATCGAACAACGCCTGTCTGCAGGAACACTTCGCCCCCGCTTGCCAAACAACACGCTCTAGATATTCAAAGAGCTGATCAGGATAGGCCAACTGTGCAAAATGCTGCCATTCCTCCTTGGAGTCCTCCATGATCGTTCCACTTCATCACGGACATCTCGATGTTGATAGCTACCCCTCATCGACATCATCATAACATCCCTATCCAGTCGCTGGCCGCCCGTAAAGTCAGGAGGAGCGGGTCCCCGAACCTCTCCAGCAACAGGCCCTTGCGGTCGTCGAAGCTGGACCATAACAGGTACATGATCCCTTCTCTGTGCCGTCGCTATCAGCTGAAGTCTACGACCCTTTCCAAGTAACGCGCCACTCAGGACAACCGCCGAAGACAGGGCTTGAGGGATCGCAATGTAGTCAACAATCGACTGACTCCCATCTCCGTAGAAAGTTGGTGTGGAGGACCTCATCGATACACGTTCCATGGAATGGGTATCCATCACCCTTCAAAAGAAAGCGCCAGCATAGTGCTCCAGTGAGGCGCCAGTCGATTGTACAGTAGCAGTATCCCCAACCACACGTGTACCTTCCCCCCTGATGACCCCAACGCCATCAGTGAGGTCCGTCAGCACACTTGGTGTAGATCTCTCAGGACAACGAGCGGGCTCCCCCTGAAGCCATCGTATCAACGTGTCCACCGTCACTTTGTACTGCGCCTGCTGCCTTACCTGGGTGACTCGATGCGGAGCGTACATACACATCAGGGTGAACTCCTCGCTCTTGTTCTGGATGCGTGTCGCCAAACATCGCCCCGTAAGCTCAACTGAGCCTCCTCTCAGACTGCTGCTCCTTACATCTAGAATGCAAGACAACCAACATTCCACACGAGCGATTGGCACAACTAGCTCCCCTCATCCATCCAGCTTCTATCAGGCGCCTACCCCGAATCTACCGCCTTGGCACAGCAATGTTACGCACACGAAGCTGCGTGCCAACCAGCGCGACCGCACATGGGTCCTTCGAGATTGCCTCAATATCCTCAAGCCTCGGCCGTGTCGAAGCTGCCAAAGGATTGACCTGCCAGACACGCCAGAACGGACCTGCTGCCACGTTGGCACTTCGACACAGTACCATCAGTAGCCACAGACCATGGCCGATGCTGATAGCGGTCATCATGATATCTGCATGCTGAAGGGCCCAGCGCAGAACGAGTGCCTGCCCGAATGCGCCTGTCGCTCAAGAAAACCTCGAGTCCATACGGCGACTGAAGGCAATCCTGATGCTGTTGATGATGATGATGATGCTGCTGATGATGATGATGCTGCTGATGATGATGATGCTGATGCTGCTGAGTCTGATGATGCTGCTGATGATTCTGCTGATGCTGATGATGATGATGATGCTGATGCTGATGATTTTGCCGATTATTATGATGATGCTGGTGATGATGCTGGTGCTGATGCTGATGCTGATGATGATGATGCCGCTGCTGCTGATGATAATGATGTTGACACTGTCGATGATGCTGCTAATGCTGATGCTGGTGACGATGATGACGAGACGAGGAGGGAGGGGAGGAGGAGGAGTAGGAGGAGGATAATGATGATGATGATGATGATGGTGATGATCATGATGATGATGATGATGGTGGTGATGATGATGCTGATGATGATGATGCTGATGATGAGGATGACGATGATGATGCTGATGAACATGATGATGATTATGATGATGATGATGCTGGTGATGATGATGATGCGGATGATGATGATGATGATGATGATGATGATGATGATGACGATGATGCTGATGCTGATGCTGATGCTGATGATGCTGATGCTGATGATGCTGATGATGATGCTGATGATGATGATGATGATGATGATGATGATGATGCTGATGATGATGATGATGATGATGATGATGATGATGATGATGATGATGATGATGATGGATGATGATGATGATGATGATGATGATGATGATGATGATGATGATGATGATGATGATGATGATGATGATGATGATGAGGAGGAGGAGGAGGAGGAGGAGGAGGAGGAGGAGGAAGAGGCGGAGGAGGAGGACGGCTAGTAGGTGGATGGGGAAGATGCGTATACGGAGGGGAGGCAGAACGGTGAGGGAGGGAGAAGCGCGTGGCATAGCCAAAGCTCACTTCCCCGGTTGGGGGCCATGTGATAGCCGCGGCTTGCGCACTTGGGTTTGGCGTTCCCGCGCCCCCCCGAAAGCCTCGCACGAAAGGTCACCTAGGGCCATTCTTGCGTGTAACCGGAAAGCTCACTTCCCCGATTCGGAACCAGGCTCACTAGTTCTCCTGATCGACCTCGACCACCTCTTCCTCATCGGGTGGACAAGTGAAACCTGTAACGTCGCGGGTCCATATCAGGTCAGGGGCTTCGGTGCCTGGTCTGGGGTGCGCCCCCCGTGGTTGGTTGTAGCTTGCCCCCTCGGACATGGCCAACATGTTACCTCCTCGACCGCCTCGTCGACCTCCTCCTCCTCCTCCTCCTCCTCCTCCTCCTCCTCCTCCTGCTCGAGTGTGTGTGTGTGTGTGTCTGCGTGTGCGTGTGCGTGTGTGTGTGTGTGTGTGTGTGTGTCTCCTCCTGGTCATCGCCGTCCGTCTTGGCAGGCTCTGCCCCAGCTGACCTCCTTCGGGCAGGCCGTTGCGGAGATGGGCGCGCCCGAGGCCCTTGGCTCGTCTTCGTTGATGTCGGGCGGGTGGGGAGGGGAGGCGGGGTGTGGTGGGAGGTGAAGGCGGAGGAGGAGGGGGAGGAGGAGGAGGAGAAGGAGGAGGAGGAGGAGGAGGAATGAGGAGGAGGGGGAGGAGGATGAGGAGGAGGGGGAGGAGGGGGAGGAGGATGAGGAGGAGGAGGGGGAGGAGGAGGATGAGGGGGAGTAGGAGGGGGGGGGGGACGAGTGAGGCCATCGAAGGCAGAAGCAACAATGAGAAGGAGGAGAAGAAGGAGGCGGAGGAGGGACATAGACAACGATAAACAATCGGCGCGTGTGCGTACATCTGCGATTGCATGCAGGCGATCTCCCCGGGTGCTGCTCTGCTGCTCGCCGAGATCCCGAGGTCATCTCGTGCTGCCTGCAGCCGGGCGCGCGTGGCGGCATCATCTTCGGGCGAGAGCGGCACGGCCATCTCCGCACGCGCCAGACCTGGCAGATCTCAGGGGGCTCACGCCAGGAGCACGTCCAGCGTGATGCTGGCCACCAGCCCAGGAGGAGCATGGTGAGCTGCAGGAGGAGAATGATGAGGAAGTTAGCAAGAGTAAATCAGGGTGCATCAACGATGCTGCAGTACACCCGCCCTTCCGAAGTCCCCTCCTCATGAATTCCTGCGCGCATCTCTTTTCGCTGCGGGACGTGCCCCCATTGACGTACGAGCGTGCCATGGTCTGCCATTCAGTCGATGCTCCTGTTTGGAAAAGGAGCTGTCCTGCATCCTTCACGCTCTAAGGGATGCGAAGAGGTATGATCATAGAGCTGAAGAGCGTGTCCAGCGATAGCTCCGTTTTGAACACGGTGCCGCTAAGGGTGTGCGCAGTGTTGCAACTTGTTGCATGCATGTATAATAGGAAAGCTCAAGGACCATACCCGTTTTGAGCACACCTACTACCACTTCGCGATGGCGCCTCACGCGGCTTTTCCAGTTTGACAAGGAGCCGCCCATCATCCTTATTCGTGCTTGGAACTCCCAGGACGAATGTGCACACCGCGCAGGGAAGGTCTCCATTTTGAAAACGAGCCGCCCTCCATCACTGTGGCTTTGGAAGTTGCTTGCTGCAGCTGTGCGCGGCGCTGGGACGGACGCCACATGTTGAAGCACATTAGCTCTCCATGCGTGTATCAGTTGGGCATTTCAAGCTTCAGGACCATAAGCGGTGAGGTCCGTAGCCATTTTGGCTCAAGTCGATTTTGATTCAGGCGAATTCGGCCCCGCAAATTCACTGATCAAGGACCCGCAGCGCTCTCTGGCTGTTCACTCTGCATCTTCGAGGCTACCAAGCAATCCAGAAGCACATGACGCACGAGGAGTTCTTGCAGTACGTTGCTGCTCTGCAGCAGTCACCGCTGCAGCAGCAGTACTTGCAGCAGTACTACGCGCAACAGCCGGCGCAGCGTCCGGCTCAGCTTCCGGCGCAGCGTTATTACCTGCAGCCGGCGCAGCGCTCGCAGTACTACGTGCAGCAGGCGCCGCCAGCACAGACGACGACGGTGTACTTGCCTGCCGACGCCTTCCCGGGGATGACGTGCCAGGTGCAAGCGGGGGATGGCCACCTCGTCAGCTTCGAGGTGCCCGCTGGGTGCGGCCCGGGCAGCGCGGTGCAGGTGAGCTACTGAGCTGTGCGCGGCGGGCTGCTCTCGGAGAGCGCCCGTCCCTGTGCCCCTCCTCTTTCAGTGACTGCGTTGTCACTGAGCTGTTCCGGGCCCTCTGCCTACACGCCCCAGGCGAAGCTGCTCACACAGCAGCGGCTCGTCGACGCGCGCACGGGCAGCAACCGAGGGCAGAATTCGCCTGCGGACGCATCGTTCGGACAACAGTCCGCGCCTCTTGCCAGGACCTCTGCTGCATGGCTGCGCCCCTGCTCCTTGTCGTGTTCCGACCGCCCGACAGAGTGGCGAATCGGCCAATGCGGAGCTACCGGCGCAAATAGCAAAACAACAAAAAGGGCCATAAGAGGATAGAACGTTTCAGGCGAAGCAGTTGTCCTGATGCTGATGATGTTGCTGATGATGATACTGATGCTGCTGACGACGTTGATGATGCTGATGCTGCTGCTGCTGATTATGATGATGTTGATGATGTGATGATGGTAATGAGGATGATGCTGCTGCTGATGATGATGACGATGCTGAGTCTGACGATGATGATGCTGATGATTATGATGTTGATGATGATGGAGATGCTGCTGCTGATGATGGTGGTGATGATGCTGACGGTGATGGTTATGATGATGCTGGTGATGATGTTGTTGTTGATGGTGATGATGCTGCTGCTGCTGATGATGATGGTGATGAGGAGGCGGATGATGATGATGATGATGACGATGATGATGATGATGATGATGATGATGATGATGATGATGATGATGATGATGATGATGATGATGATGATGATGCTGATGATGCTGATGCTGATGTTGATGATCATGATGAGCAAGCGGAGGAGGATAACCGGGAGGAGAAGGAGGATGATGAGGAGACGAAGCAGGATGATGAGTTGACGGGAGGGAGGGAGGGAGGGAGGGAGGAGGAGGAGGGAGGGAGGAGGCGGAGGAGGAGGAGGAGGAGGAGGAGGAGGTTGAATTTTAGGGGGAGCACCAGGAGGAGTGGCATGTCACGGATGCATGATGATGTTCTATATTGTAAGTTTCACGGACGAGGAGGAGGAGAGGGGAGGAAGAGAAGACGGGAGGAGGAGGAGGAGGAGACGGAGAAGGGGGGCCAGTAGAAGGGGAGGAGGATGAGGATGAGGATGAGGATGAGGATGAGGATGAGGATGAGGATGAGGATGAGGATGATGATGATGATGATGATGATGATGATGATGATGATGATGATGATGATGATGATGATGATGATGATGCTGATGCTTATGATGATGATGATGCTGATGATGATGATGATGATGATGATGATGATGATCATGCTGATGCTGATGCTGATGCTGCTGCTGCTGATGATGATGCTGCTGATGATGATGACGATGATGATGCTGCTGCTGCTGCTGATGCTGCTGATGATGATGATGATGATGATGATGATGCTGATGATGATGATGATGATGATGATGATGATGATGATGATGATGATGATGATGATGATGATGATGATGATAAGGAGGAGGATTATATGAACGCCACAGCCTTTGGCTAAGGGGGAGGAGGACGAAGTACAAGGGGGAGGGGTAAGGGGAGGAGTAAGAATAGGAGGAGTTAGTTGATTAGGACCGAGGGTCAGGGAGCGCCTTCCTCTGAGGAGAACCAACAAGAGATGTCAAGGTTGTCAAACGCCTTGCTGGTCAAGCCGACGAAGATGTGCAACATCCAACCATTCGCTTATGTCCAAAGTTTTGCCTTGACACTGGGTGTGGTACATCAATTTCAGCTTGACCGAGCAGATTGGTTGCGTCCTTTGACGACTGTTTGGGGTGTCTGCAAACCTGACCACCCAGCCCTACTCAAAGGAGGATGGGGAGGAGGAGCAGGAGGAGGAGGAGGAGGAAGAGGAGGGGAGGAGGAGGAGGAGGAGGAGGAAGAGGAGGAGGAGGAGAAAGAAGCAGTGAGGAGGAGGAGGAAGGGGAAAGGAGGAGGAGGGGGAGGAGGGAGGAGGGAGGCAGGAGCAGAGGAGGAGGAGAGAGGAGGAAGAGGTGGAGGAGGGAGGAGGAGGAGGAAAAGGAGGGAAGAGGAGGAGGAGGGAGGGGAGGAGGAGGAGGAGGGGGAGGAGGAGGAAGAGGAAGAAGAGGAATACTTATATTAATCGTAATCAGAAGAGTAATAGTAATACAAATAGAAGTGAACATAACAATACGAATAAAGATAACAATGCAATACTAACATTATTCATAATAATAACAATAATAATAATAGTAGTAATAATAATAGTAATAATAATAATGATGATAGTCTTGCGAATACTCATATGAATAATCATACGACGAAGAAGAGGAGGAGGAGGAGGAAGAGGAAGAGGGGGATGGGGATCTGGGAGGGAGAGGGCCTAGAGGCCGAGAGGCTCTGAGCAGTTGACACTCTCGACGGCGGTTGTGCCGGCGACATTCGGTGCTGGCGGGCGAGGCTCCAGGCCGACGGCTCGGGCCAGGCGGGGCGGTGATGCAGGCAGCGCGAGGCTTCGTGTGACCTCTCGGGGGAGGTGGGGCTCAGCAAGCGCCCGACGGCGACGTCGACGACGACGGCGACGACGACGACGACGTCTGCGGCCGCGACTGCGACGACCACGGGCCGCGGACGACGCACCACCGCGACCGCGGCGGCCGCGCGCCCGAGGCGCGCAGCCCGCCGCGGGCGGCGGGGCGGCCCACGGCGCCCCGCCGGCACGGGGCCAGGCGGCGGCGGCGTCGTCGCTGCCGCCGCCGTGGTCGCGTCGCGGCCGGAGCTCCTTGGCGTGGCGGGCGTGGATGGGCCAGGTGTCCACCACCACTACCATATACGCAGGGAAGGAGGCGGAGGGGAGGAGGGAGGAGGAGGAGGAGGAGGAGGAGGAGAGGAGGAGGAGAGGAGGAGAGGAGGAGGAGGAGGAGGGAGGAGGAGGGACCTCATCCCTTTCTCCTCCCCCGTCCCACCTGTGGCAGGGTGGTGGCAGGTTGGCCCGCCACGTGTCGCGCCGTCGCCCCGCCGCAGCCCCGCCGCGCGAGTGCGCCCCCTCGCCTCGCCCTCTCTGTGCCCCCTCTCCTCCTCCTCCTCCTCCTCCTCCTCCTCCTCCTCCTCCTCCTCCTCCTCCTCCCTCCTCTCCTCCTCCCTCCTCCTCCTCCTCCTCCTCCTCCTCCTCCTCCTCCTCCTCCTCCTCCTCCTCCTCCTCCTCCTCCTCCTCCTCGTGAGCCGCGCCGCCGCTTGTGGCCCACCACGCTTCGGCTCGACACGCTGGCCACTGCCGGGTCCCCAGGCGTCCACGTCCGGAGCTTTTTCGAGCTTTCCCTCCTGCGGAGCGGGGCGACACGCTATCAGCCCGCGAGGCAAAGCTTGTCACCAGGGCCGCCGCCGGGACCCGCTAAGCAAAAGTTGCCCGACCGTACCTGGCGCGGGGCTGGCGCCAGTGGCGTGGGCTTCCAAGAGTTCGGGGGCCTTGTTGGAAGTCGGGAGCCTTCGAGGAACAAGCAATAACGTAAACATAAACCTTCGGAGGTCCGCAAGGTTATCCCCCCCAAGAGTGCACTTAGGGGCTCTTGCTTCTCTTCCAAGGAACTGGGCCTGACAGTCGGTCTGGCTGCTATGTGGCCGCCGTTGCCGCCCCGTCGCCGCCTCGTCGCCCGTTGTCTTTGCCAGACCGTCGGTCTGGCGGCTATGTGGCCGCCGTCGCCGCCCCGTGCTCGCCTTGTCGCCGTCCGTTGTCTGGGTCTGACAGGTCTGGCGGCTATGTTGCCGCCGTCGCCGCCACGTCGCCGCCACGTCGTTGCCCGTCGTCTGGGCCTTTGGTGGTTGGCGGCTATGCTGCCGCCGTCGCCGCCCTGTCGCCGCCTTGTCGCCGCCACATAGGTAACTCCTCACAGATGGCACCGCATAAATTGCACCATATAGTGTGCATCACATATATTCATTTTCCTTTACCGAGACTAGTCTCTCCCCCCTGGCTTTTTCGGTACACCTTTTTTGTGTCGCAATTTACAAATGATTCTGCTCTTTCGTCTATCCTCACTATGAATTCGTACCATCTCAGCCCAGCCGGGCTCGACCCCCCCGTCATCCTCTGCAACAAATGCTATGCGTGCGCACTCGATTATCAAAATCATCAGTTTTCCAGAATCTCTTCCAAAAAGTGGGACGAAGTGCACACGCGCGCGTCGTCGCGCGCGCATCCCGAAATCCTTCAACAACCTTCGGTTTCGGAAGGATTTCAAAATCGAGTGTCTAAACAAGCATCGAATCATCACATGGTTTCGCAACATGGATGTTCAAAAAAGCTTGCTCGCGCGCTCTTGTAAATTCTGAGAAAACCATCGGTTTTTCAACATTTCCAGAACATACTACCAAACGGGCTTCGCGCGCGCATGCCGACTTCGTTCGAACGCCCTTGCGCGCATGCCGTCGCGAAGGTTCTTTGAAACAAAAACAGGACGAAGTGCACACGCGCGCGTCGTCGCTCGCGCATGCCGGAACCCTTCACAAAAACCAATGGTTTCGCAACGCCAGTAAACAAACAAAACAACTTGCGCGCGCTCTTGCGAATTCTTAAGCTAACCATGCGAATTCTGCCAAACTGACCTCTGGTGACGCATGCCGACAACATTCGCACGCCCTTGCGCCCGTGCTGGGGGGCACGATCCGTGTCACATAAAACCATGCGGGCCACTCTCGCGCGTCGGCCGCGCGCGCATGTCGAATTCTTTCCAAAACCTTCATCGCCGACGCGAGGACGCCGTCATCGTCGACGGCGTGATCAGCATCGGCGCCCGCACTTGCCGCGCCGTCGTCGTTGTCAGCGTCGCCACCAGCATCGCTACTATTATCATCGTGTCTACCTGTGTCGACGTTGTCATGACACCGCGTTCGCCCAAGTCGCCGATTCGCAGTGAAGTGCCCGCTGGGATGTGCCCAGCGGTCAGCGCCACCGCGGCCACGTTGGTCGCGCCAAACTAGCTGGCCGCTGCGCGCGCGTGCTTGGGCTGGCGCGGCTGCAGAGATGCACCAGCCAACGCCAAGCATTCATCGCAATCGCCACCGCATGTGTTTTGCAAGCCAAATTGCAGGTGGGTGGGTGGCATGATTGCGCGAGCAGTGGAATTTACAACTCAATACGAACGGGAACTGTTGCACCACATAGATTGCACAACAGATGCAATTTTATACATATATGTGAATAAAAAAGAAGCAGGTTCTACAACCTTCCCCCCCGGACTCAACGATCCCCCTTCTACCAATCTACGAATTGCAATTTACATACTATTCTGCCCCATCGTCCATCCTAAGTATGAAGTTACACTATCCCAGAGGGGGCTGGTATCGCCCCCCGCCATCAT